ATTCAACACAAACTTCACATTTATCAACATTTGAATTCAAAAAATTTGAGATGAGACCTAATTCTTTCATTTTTTTGATATAAGAAAAATTCACATGACCTAACCTACCATGCCACATATCAAGAGAGTCAAACACATAAGCAAAAGAACTAGACTTATTCTCATTCATACTTTCAGCAACATTTAGTACATAAAAACCCTAATTGCAGTAAACTTTACCAACAATGTCCCATTTTTGGTCATAATGATTTTATCACTCTCAAATGTTACTTTCACTCTCACCTTATTAAAGACAGATACCGACACCAAGTTTCAACAAATATTAGGCACGTGGAGCACTTCAAACAATGAAAGGATCTTCCCAGAAGTCAATTTTAATAACACTTTCCCTTATCCATAACAGACAAGAGTCTAGAGTCACCCACAAACACTTGTTCCTCTCCATCCCCTATAAGTGTGTAGGAGGTAAAAACATTTATATTACCACAGATATGCTTGCTAGCCTCAGAGTCTTTCAACCAATCTTTTTGTGATAACAACCACGTTAACCTCAGATACGATTGCAACAACAACATCGTCCGCCTCAGCCATATTGACATTCGGTTTGGTAGGTTTGTCATTCCGCTTTCGGTGTCAGCATTCTTGAGCATAATGTCTTGCTTTTCTACAAACAAAACAATTACTTTTTTTTCTTAAAACTAGAACCTTGAGCCTTATGGAGATTTTTTCCATTGTGATTCTTTTTCTTATGCTTATATTGAGGCTTATTCGTAGTCTCCACAACATTGGTCTTAGAGACATTTTCCTTGGCCTTTTCAGTTTTATTTTTCAAATGATTTTTCTCCTCAATCCTAATATGGATAATCACATCTTCCAAGGACATATCCTTTCTTTTATGTTTAAGAATGTTCTTGTAAACTTTCCAAGAATTAGGTAATTTTTCAATCAAAACACCAGGTACGAATGACTCGAGCAAAGTAATTTTCTCATTCCTCAATTTATTAATAATCAAATGATACTCATGAATTTGAGAAGACACATCCCTTTCCTCAACCATGTTATAGTCTTAGAAATTTCCTATTGCATATTTTTTAATCCCCGTATCTTCGACAATATACTTTTTTACCAAATTATCTCAAATCTCCCTAGCATGCTTATAATGATAATAAATATTAAAAAATTCATTTGATAAAGCATTCAAGATAATATTTCAACAAACCTTATCAGTCTTTTCTCAATTTTCTTTTTCTCTTACATAATTTTCTGTATCTTCTTCGGGTTTTAAATCAGTTAAAACAAATACAACATTTGTTATATTAGTAACATCATAATTTTTTGTTGTCAACGCTTAAAATTAGACCTATTAAAAGACTCAATTTTTGTCACATCAAGAATGATCTTGTTTATAATTGTAACATCCATATTAATTATATTCTTAAGATTGTTGTAAAAATTTAAGTCTAGAATGCTACAAATAAAAAATAAACAAAGTAAGAAAACTTATCGATAGAGGCGTGTAGTCACTGTTCTTAAGAACAGATTTTCGCCTCTCTGAGTATGAAGCCGGTGCAATAGGTTATGATATCTTATCCTCCAAGATTCAACTATTGCTTCTCCACAAACGTGCACTCGCAAATATAAAGATGTCACGAATAACTATTGATCGTTCTCAAATGAATACAAAGATCTCAAGTAATAGTATATTTGAAAGTATATCAAATTTTGGTTTTAGCAATTTGATAAACAACTCAAAGAAATCTATCGTCTATGAAAACCAAGAACACAAGAAAATCCACCGAAAAGTAGGCTTTCTTTTATGTTTTCTTGGCTTTGCCTTATGTTTTTTCTTTTTCGTACACTGGCCTTTTTTTTTTTTTAAATCTGAACAGTAGGCTTCTTTCTTTTATTCCCTTACTTTTCCTTTTTCTTTCTTGTGTTCGTACACAAGGAGTTAAATGTTTTAAATAGTAATTGAAGAGTTGCATAGCAAAAGGATGTATTGGTTGGCATCTAACGGTTAGTTAAAAAATTAAACGGTTATTAACCAACGGTCAAAAACTTTCAAAATATAATTCCAAATAATATAATAAATTAATGCAATATAAATAATAAGACAAATGGTCATAAATATATTGTTCAGGTCATCCAATAGGTCTAAAATAATTTTTAAATAATTTTTTTTAATTTATAGTTCTATACACATATATATGTTAAAAATAAATAAATATATATTATATTTTAAAATATATATTAAATACAACATGAAATCCTCACCCTCAGCAAACCAAACCCTCTTGCCCATCCCTCTCCTCCTCATCTCATGGTCAAAATTAGAGCTATTAATTAAGTTAAACTTGAACATTTTTTTAAATTTGTTAATGTGTAAATAGTCAAATAAGTTTGTTCGTTTATGTGTAAATAATCGAACTATTAAGTTCAAATTCAGTTCGATTAATACCTTTAGTTAAAATCAGTTTAGATGGTCGAAACACTGTTTACTCTGACAAAAAATAAAAAATTAGTGCGTCATTTCTGGGAAAAAGTGTGCACGGACCCTCCTAGTATCCACACCTATCTTCCTTCTATCATGGCAAAAAATAGTCCACTTCAGTGAATCACCAATTTGCTCTAAAAAAGTTAAAAAGTTTCTAGCACTTCACTTCGGCAAACCCAATGCTGCGACGATCTGAAAATACAAATTAAAATCAAAATGGACATAAAAATTGATTTTGATTTTTAATTTTCACTATGGTTTCAATTTTAATTTCCATTACAAAATTGGTTTCCAATTGAATCTGTATCTTCATTACGTTGTCGAATTTTCTTTCTATGAGTGGGTGGTGATCATTGGTGGTTGTGGGTGCTGGAACTAGGTCCTCTCTCTATATGCTAGGCGTTGGTTGAACTGGGTTGAAACTGTGGGGGTTGATAAATTGGGTTGTACTTGTTGGTTTTTTTCTCTTTAAGTATGATTTGGTTTGAGGGATACAGTGGGGGTGTGCAGATTGGAGGTAGTGTGCAGCAGTCAAGACTGGCAGCGTGAAGAAAAAGATGAGAGAATCTTGTAATCCCTGAATTGATGAGTACAAAACTTATATGAATGCAAGACTTATTATGGTATCGAAAAATTAAATTTTAGTTTTATATTAAAATTTATTATATTTATGTATATTTTTACATTATTTTAAATATTTTTATTACTATTGTGATACCTAAAAAATGATAAAAATAATTATCACAATAGTAATAAAAACACCTACAATAGTGGTTAAAAGACCTACAAAAGTAATAAATTTTTTTATACCAAAGAAAAGTGATAAAAATAGTTACTACAACAGTGATAAGAATATTCAAAACAGTGGTAAATTATCCATAAAAATGGTAAATATTTTAATTTTAAAACTACCCATAAAAGTTATAAAAATATCATTTAAAGCAATAAATTTTGGAAGTATGATACCAAATTTTTTTTGACGGTTTCATAGTCAAATCCATTAATACAATATGTGCATATAAAATGATGCCCACAGAATGACAGAAATATGTGGGTAACAGACTAAAGTTGACTACGAGGGGTAAATTTAATTTTGATTTGTTTCTAATTATTTAATTATAAAAATATTAAATAAAAATATTTTATGCATATTAAAATTTTATTAAATAAACTATAGATTAGCGGGATTCCTTTTCAGTACTGGACCATAAAATGGAAGGATTTCAATATTAATATAACCAAGGGGGTGTAATGTCCAATTAGTCCACTTGACCCACCATAAAACTCAATGAAAGGTCTTTGACCCATGGGCTAGCCAGATCAGTTAGTGATCCACCAGACTATGGGATGGCTTTGTATGCCACATGAAGACTTGTGATCAGCCTAACAGCCCGATACAATAGGCTATGGGTCAATTTTTGGCCCACTAGCCTGCAGCCTTACAGAATGGCCTGTCAAGGGCCCACTGATTAAACAAGAAGTGTTAGCTTAACGTTTGTGTATCATCTCCTCTCTGATTCATCATGTCTGTGACATTTAATCTGATGCCACCTCTCTCTTGGAAGGTACAGCTTTTATTAATTCAAAAATAAATAAATAATTTAATATAAATTGCCCAAAACAGCCAAAGGTGCAGACGGGACGGGAGTATACTCACTCATAAACACAAGTTGCTTAATGCTGAGAAATAAACCTTAATCTACTCAAAACAACCCATTGGACTTATCAAACAAAATACCCAAATTGGGTACCGGAGAAAGACAAAACAAAGTGGAAAAGAGTCCCATTAAACCTCAGCCCATCCCAAAATACACCAGTATTGCAAGTGTTAGTGTGGATGTGCTGTTGCGCATTTGAGCTGAATGTGGTTTGTTTATTTCCTTCAATTTGGTCTCAAGAATTTGGAAGCCTTATTAACCCTTTTAAAATAGGAAGTTAATATCATAATCAAGTGTTGGAGTCGTTTGAATTAAACAACTTGAATATGCACATCGGAACCTTTCCCTGATTTTTTTTCCAAAATCCTAGGCACCAACATTATATTCACTACCACATAGCAATGTGGGCCTTCTGCCACCACCTCTAGGCCAACCTGAATTCCCCTTACTATGTAGCTCTTAGGGCATGTTTGGATCATTTTGAAATAAGAGATTAAATTGCTTTTATCAAATCGTTCTAAGTCCAAACCTTTCTTTAAAATGAAATGACAGCGGATGTTTTTAAAAGCCTGCCAAGAGTATGCCCTTCAGAGCCATCAAGATGCTCTGTCTTTTTCCAACCGTCATCAGTGGATGAAAGCCCCAAAACAAATCGATAATTGTGAAAAAGAAAAGCTACCAGGCTAAAGCAGGTAAAGTTCAATTTTTTTTTTGAAAAAAAATTATGTGCAAGTAATTGTCTCAAACATGTATATGAATCTCCACATGAATATAAAATATACACAATCAATCATCGATTTTTCGTGAAGTTGCGCACAAATTTTTGGAGGATTTAGTGCCAGTGCAGGCTAGAAAGCTGCTCGAACTTACCATACAAAACAATGTTTATTTTGCAAATTACTCAATTAATTCAAATACCAAAGTACATTACAAAATAGGTACTAATTAAAACAAACTATCTTTGCTGGCTAGTAGATCAGATCATCCGATCTTACTGCTTGCAACAACTAAAAATAACCCATAAACATAGAATATAACAAAAGGAAAAAACATAAGAGAATCAATAGCTTCTGAGAATAGAATTTGCAACAGCAACACATTTGCAATAAGGTAGTGCAAATGGAGAAGATGGTCATAGAAAACCGGTGCCAAACGGGCCGGTAACAGCTTAGGCTGCTAGGCATCTTCAGTGGTGGCAAGTGAGGGGGAGAGAGAATTGCGCGATTCGTCGTAATCTTCCCCTAATGGAGATTGCTCCACCCTGATCTCCTCTATCATCTTAACCACTTCAGCCATTGTTGGCCTGTTTTCGGGCTGTGGCACAACACATGCCATTGCCACATGAAGCATCGACACAAGTTCCTCCTCAATGTTCTTGTACCTCAACAGTTCTTGATCAAACACTTCAGCTGTCCACTCATCTCTCACCACTGATCGGACCCATTTAGGCAAATCCACTGTCTGTTCTTCTTCCTCAACCCGAAGTCGAGTTGGAGAAGGATACTGTGATGGAGATCTACCAGTAAGCACTTCCAATAACAAAACCCCAAAACTATAAACATCGGACTTTTGGGATAGCCTCTTCATTTCTGCTTGCTCTGGTGCTCTGTATCCACCCAATTTAGCTATGGCATGAACAGGATTCAAAAGCAGTGACAACCCAAAATCAGATATACAAGCAACACCATTTTTATCAAGAAGTACATTCGATGATTTCATGTTCCCATGGGGAATTCTCGAAGCTGCATACTCTTCATGAATCTGAGCAAGCCCCCGAGCAGCCCCTAACACCAAGCTAATCCTTGTAGTCCAATCCAATGGAATTCTTCCCGGACCTCGATTTCCTATTAACATGAACAAAATAAGCAATTGTCAAAAGTTCGTATCGATTCCTAGTTTTTGTATGCTCTAAATTTATCTTTTGATTCAAAATCGTGGTGTAACATGTGTGTGCTCATTTGATCTGGTCATGAAACTGATAGTCTTTAAGAATGAAATCTTATTGGAATAGTTCATATTCACTTCATCCTTTAAAACCATATTACATCCCGGATCTAATGAAATAAGATGAATTGAGATAATAAAAGATTCGCAAATGTTTTGGAAATAGAATGAAAATAAACAAAAAAATTTGCAATTTTAATTTTGAAAAATCCCAATTTTTTGTTTGAAGTTCTTGTAAGTGATTTCAGTGGAAAGAAAACAAAATTTTGATGTTTGATTAATACCCACAAGTTCTAACACACACACACACATATACACACACAAAATTGGTTCATTGAGATGTGCAGAGTGCATACCATGAAGAAGCGAATGCAGGCTACCATTGGGGAGATAATCATACACAAGAAGCTTTTCTTCTTTAGCATAATAGTAAGCTCTGAGTCTGACAATGTTGGGGTGCTTAAGCTTCCCAATCACATCCATATACTGTTCAAACTCCTTCCTAGCACAAGGGTTAGCATCTTTCAGCCTCTTCACCGCCATTGTACACCCATCATCAAGCACTGCCTTATACACAGTCCCCAAACTCCCTTTTCCGAGCATCTCGGCCGACGCCCGGAGCAAATCCTCAAGCTCAAATTGCTTTCTCCGATCGAAAAACACGAGCCTACTCCGATCCGTGGTTGTTGTTCCATCACTGTCTCCACCCACATTATTCGCATAAACTTTCTTTTCGCTCGAATAACTACTCCTCCTCTTCCCACTCTCACTTCCAGATCTTGAATTCGAGTCTCTGGAGTACCTGCCACAGTAATATGCAACCACAAATGATGCTATTACTAATACAACTACTGAATTTGCAATCACAATTGCCACTATGGCACCAGGACTTAGTCCTTTTTTTGGTTGTTTCTTGATCTCTGGATTTGTGGTGGAAGGCAATGAACTTGGATTGGATGGAACTGTTTGGGCTGAAGCGACCGCCGGAGGGGTGCCGGTGAAGGAGCAAGCCGACAATGGACTCGACCCACAAAGGCCTTCATTGCCGGAAAAGCTCCGGTCACCGAACTTTCTCAATAAATTCTGTTGCAATTGCCCATACAGCTCGTTGTTTGATAAGTTCAATTCTTTAAGTTGTGGAAGAGAATCAAGAGATTTGGGAATTGGGCCTGAGAGCTCATTGTTTTGGAGGCGAATAGTGAGCAGACGAGTGAGTTTAGATAATTCAGGCGGGATGGGTCCTCTCAGATTGTTGTTGGAGAGGTCTAGTCGGAGAAGTCGGCTGAGTGAGGCTATTCCCGGTGGGATTTCTCCGGAGAAGTCGTTGCCGGAGAGATAAACAAGCTTGAGGTTGGAGCAGTTGGTAATGGGGATGATAGTGCCGTTGAGGCGGTTGTTGCGGAGGTCAATGACGCGTAGCTGGTCAAGAGAGGAGAGAGAGAATAACGGGCCGCGAAGGTCGAGGGAGGGGAGGGAGAGGGCGGTGACGCGGCCGTTGATGCACTTTACGCCTTGCCATCCGGCGGAGCAGGCGGTGGCTTCGGTGGGGAGTGTCCAGTTTGAGAGGAGGGTGCCGTGGAGGTCTGTTTGGGAGCGGAAGAGAGAGAGAGCGGCGGTGTCATCGGCGGTGGTGGTGGAGAGAGAAAATGTAGATAGAGAAAGTAAAAGGAGGAGAGGGAGGGAGGGGAATAGACAGACTTCCATGGGGCTGGGGCAGGGACTGAGGCGGGAATGGATGCCAGGGGGGGGGGAAGAGTTTTAAAAGTACAAACAAAGCACAAGAAGAAGTGACTTTGAATTGCACAGAGGAAAAAGTGGGTGTTTAAATTCATATGGCTGTCTTGCTGTTAAAAGGACGGAAATGACAATAGGATAATTCTACTTTATTTATTGAAAATAATATAAATTATAATGACATTTCATAATATTTTTAATTTACTATTCTACCCCTTGTGAGATTTTCAGAATAACACGCCCATTCTATAATATTTTTATATATAATAAAATAACTTACAATTCAAATTTTAAAAGATAAACTAAATAATTTTTATTATGCGTAGTTAAAATCGTTTTAAATTTTACTTTAAAGTTAATCTAACGGTTAATATTAACACACTAAATTTAATAGAAAAAATAGACTCCTAAGGGTGTATTTGGAGTGACTTTTTAAAAGTACTTGTAGAAATTATTTTTTATAAATATTTTTTTTTAAAAATAGTGTTTGAAACCGTCTCACCACTATCTTTACCACCATCGTCGCCGCCGCCGCCACCACCGCTACTCCCACCACCACCTCTGTTGCCATCGTCGCCACCACCCTCACCCCTACTCCCACCACAGTCATTGCCACCTATCAAAAACCATCATCGTCTCCTATCATCACCTCTACTGTCGTCCACCACCTCTCACTCCCACTATAAAATTGATGTTTAAATTATTTTATCTTTTCTTTATGTTTATGATTATGATTTAATTTTGGATATGGATACAAATATATTTATCGTTTATTATTTTTTATTATTTTGTGCCTTCAGGCACAGGTAATAATTAATATTTTTATATTACAAGACGTTTATGCTCTTATGCTTAAATTACTCACAACTTTTCGTTCTTTATTGAAACGAGATAGTTTCGTTTTCAAAACTTATGTTACGTCGGAGTGAAACAAATCATTATCCAAACATCATCGCTTCTTATGGAAATCGACACATAAGAGAACAATTTTATAATAAATAATGTGTTTGCATATAAGCAGAGATAAAGTTACTTATATCTAACACCTTTTAAATCTGATAATAGTAAAAGACTCATGCATTAATTATACTATACTTTTTACATGAGAAAACACTCCCCTTCCAACTCCTCCCCAGTCTCCAACCCACTCCCTTCCTTCTTACCCTTTCGAACTAACCCCTTCCAAACCAATCAATTCATCCTTTTTCTCTATGGTTTATAGAAACCGAAGATCAATTCAATTGAAATTTCGAGGAATCATTGAGGGTTCTTCCCGTAGATCGATTCAATGGGTAATCTCTTTATTGTTAAATCCCACCAATTCAATTTTGGGTTTGATAAATGGTGGAGAGAGAGAGAGAGAGAGAGAGAGAGAGAGAGAGAGAGAGAGAGAGAGAGCACTCTGATTGGGCAGGGATTTGGAAATATGCAAAATAATGGAAAGGAGCTATAACACCAACCTGGGAGTGACGGTAATCTTATCGTTTATTAAGACGAGGGATGCTCAAAGAATAGATGTAAATATCAGGGGTATCATTACAGTTTACCAAAGACATTTTTTGGGGTGGGGGAGAAAGGGGGGGGGGGGGGGGGAGTTAGGATTTTGATACTACTGTCATCTCTCTCTCATACACACACACAGACACACACACAATCAATCTTCTGGAGAAAATTGAAATGATTAAAGGTGAAATTAGTAAGTGGGAGCATGAGAAGGGGTTGGTTGTGTGAATGATTGCTGTTCTCCACTACTCTCAGCTGGAATTGAGTAAAAAGCTTTCATTGCAGGCTTTTCCTTTCT